CACCTTCCCAGCACTGAGCTCGCCTAATCGGCAGTGCTGCGAGTTGAGATGCACCACCATTTTCTGCCATTAACATATAATCCAAGTTCCTATACAGTTCGAATCCACACTACCCGCCCTGCATGACCGAATTCTAATACCACCCTTATTAAAGCCAATGGTCCTAATCCAGTGCGGGATAGGAGAAAAATCCCCACCTCCACCTGCCAATCAGGAGGCGGGTCAAAAATTCCTATCCGGTCCCCAACAAAGGGCGACCAGCTAATCTTGCACTAGCATATAGGGCGGGCAGGCGGGATACCACTCACAACAAAGAAGGGGGTCGTCCAACGTGGTTATAGGGCGGGCAGGCGGGATACCACTCACAACAAAGAAAGGGGGTCGTCCAATGTGGCCACCCACTTAAATATGCCCTGCTCAACCCACACCCCTCGTCTGTTCTCGGGCGAGCCTTGTAGCCTCGTGTGGCATCCTGAAGGCTGGCAAAGGCAATGCCTCCTGGGGAATCCCTTCGGGCCCCCTCCCAGCATTAGCATTGAGTCCAGTGCAGGCGGGATACCACTCACAACAAAGAAAGGGGGTCGTCCAATGTGGCCACCCACTTAAATATGCCCTGCTCAACCCACACCCCTCGTCTGTTCTCGGGCGAGCCTTGTAGCCTCGTGTGGCATCCTGAAGGCTGGCAAAGGCAATGCCTCCTGGGGAATCCCTTCGGGCCCCCTCCCAGCATTAGCATTGAGTCCAGTCTCTGTCAGGGACACACAGTGGTGAATCAAACTCCCAACCTTTGGCTCTGCAGGCAAATACTAGGCCACTGAAGTATCCAGCAGTTGAAACTCATTTTGTTTTTGTTTTTTCCTAGAGTAGCAATCTTATCTATACAGTGGGGGCTTGACTTAAGAACGGCTTGAGTTAAGAACATTTTGACTTAAGAATCGCTCTCATAGGAAAATATTGACTTGACTTAAGTACTTAGATTTGAGTTAAGAACTGAAAAAAACCCACGTGGGAGGCAGGAAAAGTGCAAAAAGTGAACTTTCAGTTAACTGTTGGCCAGTGAAAAGGGTGCCTGTCTGCTTCCTCACTCCTCCCAGCGTTTAGAGAGTGGATTGGGAGACAGTCTTCAGACTGCCTGGTACTGTACTGCCTGGACTGTATTTTCCCTGCCTTCCCTGAACCTTTCTTGACCTAAGGATAAAAGAAACAAAATATCCCCCTCTAGTGGTCAAAGGCGGAATAGCAGCTTCCGATTAGTTTCTATGGACGGAAAAGAGCAGATACGGATTAAATGGTTTTCAATGCATTCCTATGGGAAATGCAGATTTGACTTGAGAACTTTTTGGCTTGAGAACCGCCTTCCAATACGGATTAAGTTCTCAAGTCAAGACCCCACTGTAGTTCATAAAGATACTCTGAACAATATTGAAGACATTGTTTTTCTACTTTTACAGTTGTTTTTCTAAATGCCCATTTTTGGTTCTTCGAAATTTTAATAAATCATTCATAGCCTTTTTCTGCTAGCTGAGTTCTTTTTAATAACTGAGTTCACCATGGAACAACTGACTGAAAAAGTATCCCTTAAACAGGCAATTTGTTTTTAAGAGAGCTAAGACACATTTATATGGTGAGTATATTCTATTAAAACATGTTAATTTGTTTTCCCTAGTCTATCCTCAATTACTCACTTTGGCAGTATTGACTAAACTCTTTTAGTAAACTATATTGCTAAAAGAGTATACTGTATCATCTATACATAATAGAATAAAATATTGACTTCTCCTAATCTTCATCAGAGGAACTGTTTTCCTTTTAACAAAGAGGCAATAATTCCAAGATAAAAATTAAAGGAACCAACATACTGTACATTCAAAACACTTTTGCCAATGAAATTCTGACAGTTGGCAATCTGCTGCTATTGTAAGGGCCATCCCTGAAGATAAACATCTAGCAAAATTTTCCTGTGGGGAACTGGACTCCCACCTAACTCGTTAAGCTGTCTAGTTCGCTAAAAGCTAGAAACCAAGGGCTAAATGCTTCCTGGAAGAGCAACATTTTAATCTGTCATCTAAACATATTAATGAAGACATCACATGGAATGAGGATACTCCACAGAGAGCGTTCCACAGGGTCAGTGCTGAGACCTCTTCCTCCCTGGTAGACATTTGTTAAACCACTGGGGGCTATAGAACATACAGTTGAAAGACCTACTTGAGGTAGAGTAGTCTTAAACTAAACTCAAATGTACTGTATATGAGTTATAATTAGAATGTTTTGCTCCAAAATTCTAGATGTCTCCTCTTCCAGGTGGTAAAAGAACATGATCAGAGAACTCTATTGTTATTGTTTTTTTTTACATATACATGATTTTCTTTCTCTGCCCCTTTTTCCCATTTCCCACATTTCTTGAACTGCTATCTCTAGTTCCTTGATAACTGTAAAACAAATTAATGCAGTGTTAATGAAATCTAATCTATGCTGCTTTAGTGTGACAGGAAATAAAAGCAAGAAAACTCTCAAACATTTTAAAGTTTTGTTACAGATAACTAAACATACAGTAATTCCTTATGAACCATATTAATGTTAAATGCCAGTTTTAAAGATGAAGACGAAGGTCTAATGCTGAAGTACTCTGTATTTCCCATTGTCATCTCTAGCTTTTTACACTTACAGTACAGCATTTTTAAATGGCAGAAATATGGTATCTGAGTTATGGAAAGGCAATCAAAATATTTTCAGCCAGAGGAAGACAGGACATTTCAGTAATGATAGCCTAGGCAGCATTTATCCCTACTATAAGCTGTACTTTGAGGTAACAAAAGATGGAAGACAAAAAGCCTTTCAAAAACTGGTCTGGAATATTTCTTTCAACAACTGCAGTTCTATTCATGCTCTCTGTGGGTGCAAGGATATATAAAGCACATTTTCTATCAAACAGATTTCTTCATCTTTAGTCTAGCTCTTTAAAAACAAAGGATTTCATCTCACCCAGAGTTCTAGTAATGGCTTTCTTAACAGAAATGTAAAATGAGATCTTTTTAAAAAATCTGATGGAATAATCCTACCCACACCTTAAAAAGAGTAGCCCCTGAAGGGAAGCCAAAAAGGTGTGGGTAGGAATACTTTGGGGGTGGGCTGGTTTGTGCTGGCATTTATATTGTGAGATTGTTGAGAGAAGGAGAGAACCAGCTTATCTCCAGAGTGGACCTAACTGTGAGAGAGATCCCTATGTACAACTGTGGATCCTGGGTTATATTCAGCTGCTACTCTCAGCTAGAGTACATCTGCTGAATCAATAAGACTTTTGTTAAGTCAATGCTTACATAAGTCCAATTGATTCAACCTGTCTACTCTGGCTGGAAATAACAATATGATTTTAAAAGAGACTGTGATTATTCTGTCTCTTTTCTCTAATAAAATAGGCCCAATGAGGAAAGAATGGTAGGAAAGATCCTTTAATGCTGAGGAAATGTGATGTGTTCAGTATTATAATTTACTATACAAACAGGCTTAATGGCCAATTAATTTTTTTTTCCCGGGGAGACATTGGTTACTTTCCAACATCCATAGAAAATTTAAGCAGTTAATTAGGGTTCTCTAGATTTATTTCAAACTGGACTAGAAGCTACTGTTGTTTTCTGCACGTAATATAATAGTCCCTTGGTTAGGACTCATAGATCTTGCTGGTGATATGTTTGTGATGCCTTAAATGGCACTTAGATATTTAGTCTTCTTTTAATATTGAAAGATGCATGCAGGAACATCAATAATATTTGTGTTCATTTCTAAACCTATTGCAACACTTGTTCACAAAAACTGGTGACATGTTATCTGCAATTATAACCCAGGAAGTTGAAATGAAAATTCAACACTGAAAATTGCACTGAAGCAGTCAATGGGGATAAAAGCTTCATGAAGAGAGAACCTTCAGCTATGCACAGAAAGGCAGATCAAGTAGCTTTGTAAAAAATAGACCTCAAATACTAGATACTCAGCAGGGTACAATTTTAACAATTATTTCAAATCACTGATACACTGCAGGCATGGGGAAATATAAAAATAGTAAACCTGGTAAGCCACTTTTTTTTTTTGACCTTCTACAACTCCTCTTTCTTTACTTTTTGGTTGGGCCTCCACAGCTGGGTTTCTTTGATTAAACATATATATAGTGAACTCCAATGGAATTATGACATAAATATCTTGAGACCACAGATACGGTATATTAGAGAGTCCTGCAACAAAAGGTTGCTGTTTCTCCTCCTCCATACAAATAGTCTCCCTATTCAGGATTCCAACATACATATTCCACGGTGCACTCAGCCCTCAGTGTTCTGTTATTTTCTCTATGTGACTCTGGGGCTTTAGCCTGGAATTCTTGACTCTGTTATTTTACTGGTTCTTGGACTATGTTGAGTTTGTTTTGTTTTTTGGAAGCAGAATTGTGCCAGTAGTTTTCTTAAAATAATAACAATAATTTGTTGTACTTCTGCAAATTCTGGGATTTGCTTTATTTGGCAATGGCACAATTTTTGTTCCTTTTCTTTTTTGCACTTGACATCTTATTTTACTGCTACAGAATATGATGTATGCATAGGTGGGGATATGTAGAAAAAATATAGCAAAAATAACAAGAGGAAAAAATGTTTAAGCTATAGCAAAAGGCAGCTTTTGCATGCAGAGCACCACTGGCCTTAAAGAACAACAGAAAAGTTAAGCTCTCCCTTCTTCATCACCATGGAGATAACACCCTAGTATGAACTACACAATCCACAAAAATGCCAAAAACGCCTATATAGTGAATGTGATTGTTCAGTAGACAATATTGTACTAGAACTATCTGTATAAAATAATGAAAGGAAGAGACTGGGGGGAGAGACGGGGAAAATTCCATGAGAGTAGTACAAAATGAAGGAACATTATCATTTAATTTAATTGATTAAAATGCCATCTTTTTTTGTTTTCAAAAGTTTATACCATATAAGAGGGGAAAATTGTTACCTTACCTCCTGATTAGCAGCTGTTAGTTCTTCTTCAAGAGCTGAGACTCTTTCCAAAGAAACCCTCAGTCGTTCCCTGACCTAGAAGAAAAATAAATTGTGCAGCAATATAATTCTTGTCCTTGCCGTTTATATGAACATTATAGAACATTCTAAAAGACTATTTCTGAGGGATATGTGTGTGTGTGAGAGAGAGATCTTCTAGGTACCATAGTTAGTAAATTACTTTTTGGCTAAAGTAGCAAAGTAATTGGCACTAGAGTAGGTCGATTAATAAAACTAATGGAAGAGTTGACTCACCAAATCCACGAACTTATGGAAGAGTTGACTCACCAAATACACATTCAATCAATGGGTCTACTCTAGTGGTGACTTAGTATGCTAAGCAGCAGGATTTCAACCATTGCCTTCTTGAGATGAGTCCAGTGAATGCAAAATGACATTCATTTTAAATTCCACATGTTACATAATATTGGGGGCTGCTCAAACATACAACACACATAGTGTAGTCTTTCTACAGCCCCACTGCTTTACTTTCCAATTCCTTTCAAAGAATGCCAGCTTTTGGAATTTCATTCATAATTTTTTCAAGCCACAGTTCTCCATTACAGCCACAAAAGGACTTTCATTTAATCTCAGCTTCCTAAGTATAGCATTAAACTAAAGAATAATGCTTACACTAGTATACATAGTTCCCTGCTCTTAATGCAAACTTGGATTCACACACCTTTGCTGAAAATTAGAATTGTAAATGTTGTCATCTTTGTTGTTTTTAATATGTGAAATATAAACAAAATAATAATCACCATCATCTTAAAAGTGCAGATCTGGAAAGGATCCTATGGATAATCAAATCTAGCCACTGTCAAGGAGGCACAGTGGGGAATTGAACTCTTAACCTGAGCTATCCAGCAGTTCAGTCCAACTAAACATGGACTAGGACTGTGATCTGGAAGAATCCCACAAGTCTCAGCTAAAGTTCTGGTTCCCCCCAAAGCAAGTTCATAAAAGTTTACGTGTATGTATGTATGTACAAGTACTGCAACAATTATTGTATAGATTAGAACCTGAGTATGCATCTCATTTTTCCAAATTAAATGCCCTATTTGCTGTTGTACCATTCAAAATTAACTGTGTCTGAGAAGAAATGTGTGGGAATGCAGTGAGTATACATACACTGATTCTTTACAATGCTTAGATGTCCAGCAATGTGTTTCTACTGGCAATGGAGGGCGGACAAAGTAAGTTCTGTTAAACCTTTGGGGGAAAATCTATACACAGATGCTATACTTATACTTAAATGGCTTGAGACAACTTATGTATTACACCAAACTTAAATCCTGTTGCTTAGAAAACTGCACTAGTAATTTCCATTAATTCAAATGGGCCTACTCTGTGACTTACTATGTTAAAATAAGTTGCAATTAGAATAGACCAATTTGAATTGATGGAACTTAGAGAGGAGCTGATTCTCCAAATCCTCACTGATTCAATTGTACTCAAGTGCAACACTACTCTAGTGTGACTTATTATGCGAAACAGAATTTTGGCTTTTGATTGGGGATGGTAAGACATTGAATCTTTTGCACTGTGTACATGGGGCAAATATTGGCAGATATCTCCACTAACAGGCAGGTATTTCCTTTTGTCAAAAAGGACAGATAGTTCTCTATCTCTTTGTTTACCTGAAAATCTTCTTTTGAACTGATCCCCTACTTTTTTATTTTTTTAAATGCTATACTGTGACTGGGTCTAGAGCCCTGAATTCATTGTGATTTCAGGCATAAAAATGCCTGTCAACTCACAGTTTTCATTTATTATCTACTGTTTTCATTTTCATTCACCACCCATTTTATTAATGTTTCAGGCATAAAAATGCCTGTCAACTCACCATTTTCATTATCTACTGTTTTCATTTTCATTCCCCACCCAAATAGCTTTTCACCACATACAATATGACAAAATTAAATTAGACTGTAAACCATGGTACTTTCTGAAGGGTACGGGCAGCAATGCTCTGTTAGTTAAATTCTACCTACTATTGTTAACTTTAGCAGCAAAGGGAAGCTAAAAGCTTCCAGAGACTTTTGGCACATTGTTTGAGTAGCTTTTAGCTCAAGAACACATGACTCATCTCTTGCTAAGCAAGGCCAAGAGCTTCCTCTCATAAAGTGCAGTCAATGATTTCACATCAGCTAGATCAATCATGTCAAAATGTTACAAAACCATGATGATTCAGGAATAATTTCTCCAAACAATTCTTGAGTGTATTCTTTAAGATTGTAACTTATATCTGAGTAAGATTTCTTTTTAAAAGTCAGATAGGTTATTTCAAATGATCATGGAGCAACTGACGACTCCCTCAAAGGATTTTATAATTCAGATACCTGGACCCAAATATGAGTGCAGGAGCAGCTTTTGTAATGAATATTCAAAGACAGATGGTCCACTACGTTTACAAATAGACTTCTCCCCACCTCCACCTCCAGATCAATAGTAAGGGCTGTGGACATAGAACCTGTATCTGCCAACTCTCTCTATTGATCACAGAGACTTGGTGTCTATTGTTTAAATACCCACCCCTCATAAATCATTGTCTCTGTTTTTACTTCTAGGGGTGAGCTCTTCTTGTGTTGTTAACGGAAGATACTGGAACGACTATTGTTCAGTTCTCTCCCCCGGGCATTTTTAGTTTAAATCTGGGTTGCAGATTTGTCACATCCGGTGCACATTAACATACAGTGGTGCCTCTCTTAACGAGCGCACCGTATAACGACAAAATCGCATAGCGATGCAGTTTCCGCGATCGCTAATGCGATCGCTTACCGATGGCCCCAATGGGCGAAACTCGTATAGCGAAGGTCAGTAAGCGTTTCGCTTACCGACCTTCGCTTTGCGACCCGCGGATCAGCTGTTTGGTGGGTCCAAACTGGCTGCCGGAACAGCTGAAATGGCCCCTCGCTTACCAAGGTGCGAAAATGGCTACTATCATTGTCTCTGTTTTTACTTCTAGGGGTGAGCTCTTCTTGTGTTGTTAACGGAAGATACTGGAACGACTATTGTTCAGTTCCCTCCCCCGGGGCATTTTTAGTTTAAATCTGGGTTGCAGATTTATCACATCCGGTGCACATTAATATATACCACAGATGGGGAACGTGTGACTATCCAGATGTTTCGTCACTACAACTCCTATTGGACTGAACCTCAGTCCTAGCCAGTCATTTGTGCAGAGGAAAATGTAGACATGAATCATGGTTCTCTTATACACATGCCTCCAAGAACAGTGCCAAAACAGAACCCCTTTTTATATCACAAGGGAGAAACAGTTTTATATTTCAGGTTCAACAAACCGGTTCTAGTAGTGTTCACCAAAAGCAGGTTATTGTTCAGAGTACAGAGACTGGGTCTAGATTGCACATTAAAGATCAAGTTACCCTAAAATACTTTTTGTTGTAAGAGAGACAGCTCATAACAATATATTGCTGCTGGGAAAATCCATTTCCACCTCTAGTTACCGTAAGGATTGTAGCTAAAGTGATAGTGAACATGGAAGACTTAGAGCAGTGGTAAATTACATCTTAGTCTTTCCTAATCCAAAAGGGTCTTCAAACTCCAAAGACTTGATTCCAAAAGACCCTTGCATTCACTAGAAGTGATAGAGTTGCAGCCCAATGATATCTGGATGGTTGTTTGCCCTCCAGCCGAAATATAAATGTGCATATGTATGAACACTCAGGGCCAAACTAGATATGACGTCAGTAATACAGCTGGCATCCATGTCTGGCGATAAACATTATTATCAGAGGCAGAAAAAGGTTGGGCAGTTTTACTCAGGACTGCAGTGTGCCACAAGGGTAGATTTAACTCTTCGCTTAATATTTATGGCCCTAGTGAAACCCTCCATGCACTGCAATTTGTACTAGCAAGATTGCATTAAAAAATACAGAGAGAAATATTTATTTTATTTATTTATTTAACATATATCATACTTTTCTACCATAGATGGGACTGAAGGCTGATAGCCACACAGTTAACTTACTTTGGTCTGTACTAGATGCCATGCAGTGTATAATCTACTACTTCTTGCACCATGCTTCTGAAAGTATATTCTGAACTGCAGATTTATTGCATGATAATGTTATGTTTTTCATAAATCCTTCTATGGCGATTACCCCCATCATTCTTACAGAGTAAATAGATGGAAGCAGGAGAGGGCTTCTTTACTCAACATATAATAATCAGAGGGGATTAGAAAGGGGGTCTTTGGATTCGTATATGAATACCCCACAGGTGGACATAATGAGGGTCCAGCCCCCCCGGGGCCAGACCATCCACTCACCTGTCCGCAGCTGCTGTGGGCTCCAGGCTCCCTTCCAATTGCTCCAGAGCTCACACTCGACTAGCCACTCCTGGCAGAAGGGAAGATGAGCCTCATTGCCAGGCTGATGAGTGGCTAGTTGACTGCAAGCTCTGGAGTGACTGGAAGGGAGCACAGAGCCCACAGCAGCAGCAGATGGGTGAGTGGACAGTCTGACCCCAGGGAGCCAGACCCTCATTATGTCTACCTGTGCAGGGGTATTTATATTCATATACAAATATGAATACCCCCATCTCTAGAGGGGATCATAGGAAACCTCCACTTGTGGTGAAAACAGAATATTTCAAAGGTATACCTTCTTTGAACGTTTAAAGAGTATGGGAATCCTTTCAAAAATAGCTGATTTCAACTCGTTTGAAAGAGCTCCACAAGCATATCTGCATCAATGTGAAAATGAGCAGTTCAATATGGAGAGGAAAATGTAGTTGAATTGTTTGATTAGTGATTTGAGCTTGGGATAAGAAATTTCTCAGAGTGCTAAAACATGACACTTGGCAAATTTTCGAAAGACAGAATCCTGCCTATGTAAAATGGGACATAAAGTTCTGTTATGCTGCTAACTCCTGAATAGCTAGGATTTGACATCCTTGAAGACATGTAATTTCCACCTACTGTGAAGGTTGGTGGTGATATTGAGTTTTAAATTCCTGTTTGCAAACAGTCACTTATGTCATATGGAAATCACCCCCCATGCACTACCTGAGGCTAATACCTCTCAAGTTATCTTATATGATTGGACAACAAAATAATGGAAAGTTAATAATATACATGCCAAAAAGGTTGCAGGAAATACCCATGTATAGTGCCCATCGTAAAGATTATATTGAACAAATAAGTTTGTATTTTCATACTATACCTTTTCATCTAAAGCCTTGTGGTGTTCAAACAAAGATTTCAATGCTTTCAGAACCTCAACTTCACTAGAAACTCCTGAGGGAGACTGTGCTTGACGTTTCACCACGGTCATTCTCAGTGACCTTTCATGTCTTGAAACAAGGCACTCCAAGTGTTCCAGTAACAGCTGTTGGGTTCAACGTAAAAAAGAAGGTCAGCTCATTCGTGCCTAAAGTTCGCTGGCATTGTGATTCTCTGTAGAAAAAAATAACAACACTGGCAGTTTGCTTGAAACCTTATGATGCCTCTGGATTCCCCACCCCCCATAATCTTATTGCAAAGAACATAGTAGGATATAAAGCCTATATAGTATGCAAGTCCTGCCCATTTGAACTCTCATGCAGACTTCTTAAAATAGAAAATCTTTTAATTCACCTTTGTAGTACGTATTCCAAAAAAGAAAACATTTAGATATTACTATTTTGGAAATGAGACGTCAAATAACCAGGCAAACTAAATCAACAAACTATATGACACAGTAAACAGCTCGTGCTGAAATAAATCATAGAAGAGCATTTGTATCTTAACACTAGAACTTACAAGATATGAAGAAATAACGAGCTATAAGTTCTGTAACAGTTTTAAGTTTGGATTTTCTAAAAATATGTTATACTAGATGTCAAAACTCACACAATGACACTCAAAAAAACTCCCGGTGTCCAATATTGCATTTTAGTGCAACCATTCCATGCCTCTTTTTGCATACCCCTGACACTCAAAAGAAGCTTAGAGACATGTAAGAAGATGCAATGAGAGGGAGGAAGGAAATGTATACTCTTGCACAAGTTTTGACATTACGTGCAATGCATACAATATGCTTGATTAGATGAACGGTTGCCCTTTAACCTCTGTTGTAGCTAACTATTTCTATGTGACCTTTGGAACAGGCAGGGAATACACCTGGGTTCAAACTAGGAAGCCACACATGTACATACATGAAACCAACAGTCATCTGTATGATGATTTGCGCATGCCCAAGCAATAATGCTTCAAGTTCAAGATCAGGACTCAGAATGTTCTGTTTAAAGAGGAGCATGACAGCTAAGTTGCAATTATCATTATCACTGCTCCAGTCATGCAGGTAATTTGATGCACTGTGTATTATTAATAGGTGCTGTCCTTACCACCAGGTCAGAAATACAGAGAAATATTCTCAGGTGCCCTCTAGTGATCAATTCTGATATTGCAGCTTGGAAATATGCATAAAAATACAAAAGATAAAAAGTACTTTCCTTGTCACTTTGGATTGGTAAGAAACATCATAAAAATAAAATCCCTGCAAAACTGCCTCTAAAATGCCTTTTAAAATAACTTGCAAAAGTAATTTGGGCCTTGCTGATTCTACTCCTCATTAGGGATGTGCCATTTGGTTTCTTTCAACTTAAAAACTAAGAATTCTTTAAGAATTCTGGGAGTCCCAGTGCAGAAATAGACACCTGCAGATACTTTCATTTCACTCATTTGGAGAAAGGCTGAGGCCTCCTTCTAGAACCTCTTTTGTGCAGCCATATTTCCTGGGTATGATAGTCTCATTGTCCTTTCTGTGAGCACTACCTGAAGACACACCACCCCCAGGAAGCACAGCAGTCGAAAATAAGAAGGCCTCATTCTTTCTCCAGTTGAGTGAAATGCAGGTATCTACAGGTGTGTTTGCAGGATGGAATCCCTAGAATTCTTTCTGAGGAATTCTTGGAGAATTCTCTGATTTGGAGTAACACTCCCCCCCACACACAAATGACATATCTTTACTCATTATATATATATGATTTGCAATTACTTGTCACATTGTTTGTTTCCCAAAAAGTGACTAGATAGTAGGTATATTTATAACTAGTTTCTTCCATGGTTTGCTCAAGAAGATACATTATTTTTTACCAGACTCAGTCCAATAAACGTCATTAAAGTCAGGATATTAAGGAGAAATCATCTGAAATCCTATTATAACTAGAGTAAACCCACTGAAGCAGTGGACATTTGGTGAGTCAGCTCCTCCATAGGTTCCACTGATTCTATGGGCCTACTCTAGTTGTAATTTACTATGCTAAGCAACAGGATTTCACACTCTGGACTGCAAGAACAGGCCTGGGAAGAGTGAACAAAAGGTACTGATTTATTCCCCCTTCTTCTAGTGTATCCATCAGGTATGCAGGAAATAAATCTTCCCCACCTCCACAGCTGCTCTCCTGATAAAGCAGAGAGAGTCTGTATGCTCCACTTGTTTCTCCCCTACCGATGATGATGCTTTAAAGCCCGCCCCCCATCACATTCAGTGCTGGTCTAAATAACTTGCCTTAACTAAAGCTTATCCACCAGATCTCTTCAATTAAACTTAATGAACAAGGAAATAGCTTAAGGGTGTCTTAAGCAGTTGTCTCAGTTAAGCAGAGAATTGAATCTGTGCACTGTAGAGTGTCAACTCAAGTTAAGTAAACATCATTTTAATGTTCATGGCTAATGCAAACATATGCTCACTCATTTATGCTACTCTTTCAGGGTAAGCACACTATATTAGAATATTACATTTCATCTTGTTCCAAAGTGTAGAGAAGTGGCATTTAGTTCTCCTAAACAGAAGTAGCAGATATAGACAGTGTCTGAAATCTTGTGCAGTTACACAAAAGGCATAACTTTTGGAAGTGAATTGCCATAAGTTAAGAAATCTTTGTAGACATTGTCTACCACATATTGAGTCGTGCAACTCTGCATGCAACAGATAGCGTCTAGGGAGATTTCCTAACCTATGGCAATTCATCTCCAACAGTTAATGCTGTTGTTGCAACTGTGCAATAGGATTTCAGCCATTAAATCAGATGCTTATAGATAATAATAATAATAATAATAATAATAATAATAATAATAATAATAATAATAATAATAATAATAATAATAATAATAATAATAACTGTGATGACATCCTTGTGATGTCACAGGAGCCAGGCTCTTGTGTACCATCCGTAAAATTGAGAGTTTGTATTAAACACTGATAGATGATTGCCAAAATTCTCCTGCATGGTTACAAAGAAGACCTAATGTTTGGAAGTGAATTGCCATAAGTTAAGAAATCTTTGTAGACATTGAGCACCTTTTGCATGACTGCAGAACAATATATTGGCCAATATATATCAAAATGAAGATTTTACATCACAGTGTTATGCTTAACCAAGTTTTTAACTGGCTTTTAAAAGGTTTTACATCACAGTGTTATGTTGCAAAAAGCAGGATAATCCACTGCAAGGTTGAAAATTTGGAGCTATACAATATTCTTAACGCTGTCATTTATTCAAGATCTTTTCTGAATGGCTTCACAATTCTTTTACCCAACAATGATCTGTGATAGGTGATAAGATACTAAATTGCCCAGATCTACCCTATGAGCCTCCAAGACCTGGCAAAGATTCAAGGCTGAACCTCCCACTTCAAACCTTATTGAACTCACCATATCATACTTGTCCTTTTGTACATATCGAAGCATACAACCAATGCAGGAGTTAAGCACATGAAATTGTTCAACTGTTAAAAGTTTGTGCTAGACAGTGCATTTATTTGCAGCAAATATGTAGAGACAGTAACAGTTTTCCCTTTGCCAGAATACACGTTGTTCTATATTTCACATTATGTCCAATATGAAGGCTTAAGCGAAAACTGACAAATGTGCCAAAAGAGGGAATAGTTATTTTGCTATATAAAAGAAAAAAAGTTAAAAAAGAGGAATGGGGTGAGGAGCTTTAATTTAAAGTGAGGATGCATAACTCAACATACACGAGCAGAAGATGTCAAAAACCCAATTGAAAAAGCCAATTTGGAGGTCAGAGAATTACTCTGAAAAATTATATACTCTGTTCAGCTGTAAATATTTTGAAATTGGACACTCAGGATTGTTTACTATCTGTAGTTACCATGGAAAACAACACCTATTCACTACACTTGATCCTAGCAAAAAGGCCAAGAAGCTCTCCAAGTTTTCCAGGTGAAAATAACTAACCAGCTCCTCTTTGGGGTCCCTGTTTGGATTATGGCAGTCAGCTACGAGATAGATGGCGTAGCTGCCCTCTTCCTGCACAAGATTTTAGGTGTCCCGAATATGATTAGACTTGCAACATTATTAAGTGAGCTTGAATTTCATTTTCCAACTACACTTGCCTGGTTATCCACTATTAAATTTTGGCTTCGTTTACACTTTCAGAAATCTTCCAAATTCCTTTTGACTGATTTATTAAGTGATCCCTTTATCTCCACAGGGTACTCTTTTATTAACTCTAAAATCACTTCCATAGATATTAACCTGAACCCCCTGACAAATTTTGGAAAAATTCTACCATATTATCCACCAAAGAATTCAGGATATTGAACTTCAGACTCTGGCATCTGATTTGAATTTAATTTGCTCTCCTCGTATTTATGGTTTGCCCCCTTTGTCTGTAACTGGTGCCAATTATTTCAGCAATCTCATTAACCCACTGTGGCACCGGACATTTATTCTGGCCAGATTTAATGTATTTCCCTCAGTTGTTCTTTCTGGCAGATATTGTAACATTCCCTTTAAGAACCGGTAGTGTAAGCACTGCTTAGCGGAACTGGGATCAATTTTACATATTCTTACTCACTGTTCTAAATTTAGCGAACTCTGTCAATTACTACTTAGCTCTATTATTACAAATTTCTTTGGCTCCCCTGAGAGCTTAATCCAAATGATGTTAGCAGACAAACAATCTGATTTGATTGAGCGTGTAGCTGAGTATCTTGCTATTGTAATAAACTAGGCTAACTGTTTCAAGAAACCTTGACGTAACTTGACCATATTTATCTTATTGCAGTGGAAAGTATAATCTTGATTGTATGGTTACTGGTTTTAATGCCAATAAAGGTTTTGAACTGAATTGACTGAACACCTATTCTCTTATATGTAACCTCAGGTAATGGCTTTTACATTGTAATGCTGAGGGTTTAGGTCTTGTTTGGGATCAACAATGTTGTCTTATCACTGTCAGGGATACTTTAGAGCCTCTACTTGAAGTTGCCCCTAAAATTTTAATTCCAATAGGACTCTGTGTGATGTGTCTAGTGTTTAATTTTTTTTTTCTGTCAAGGCTGTCAGCTTTCAAATGAGTCTTAGTTGAATCAACTATTTTTGAAAGTGTCAAATCTGGTTCTCAACTGAATCAAATACTTAGTGTACAGTTTTAAAATGTATATGTGTATATCTGTATCATCTATATCTGAAGAAAAGCAAATTTAAATTACACACAAACCCCATACATAAGAGAAGGAACAGATTAATCTGGTGTGATAAAAATGTAGAGATTGACCTTGTTGTCTTTATAAGTGACCTGACGGAGATAATGTTGAAGATCCCATGACTTTTGGTCTTGGGGGCTACAAAATTCATGTTGAAGACACCTTGTCTGGTGTGGCTTGGGATTTTATGGCTCCTATAAAAGTAAAGTGCCTTACTCAAATAATATCTAGCCCAACATACATAGCAGAAAAATCAATATATTTGGTTATCAGTTTCAGAGTATGAGACTATGATATGTAGGTTGGATTGGTAGGGATTGAAATGGTTCTGCTGTTTGGTAAATTTAAGAAGAAAAGTCGTAGTATTTGCATTCCACCGGTGTTGATGGTGAAGAAAACTTACTTCTGTGCTGCAACTGTATCTGTGTAATGTCTTGGCTTCCTTTACTTTTGATATCTACCACATGTTTCTTGAATCCTTAATCTCAGATGTTTGTTGAACTTTTCTGGATCTTGGCTTATTACATGAACTTCAAAGTAAATGCAATTAATGTTTCCCTGAGGGAATGTGTAGTTCAAACCAGCCTTTCTTAATGAAACCATGACTGAAATCCTTATTGCACAGTTATACTTGAAAAATATTTTTTAAAGTAGTATTTTATGACACATGAACTGGAAAGAACTTTAGACTGTTCTGATATGACAGAAATGGCTTTCTTTCTGAAAAAAAAAGTTACACTTCAGTTAATGATTTTGTGCATATTCCCAAAAGTAATATCCATTATCACTTTTCATTTCATTAGATCTCGATCTCTCTCTCTCTCTCTCACACCTCCCCCCAGGTGACACTGTCTCAATTCAAATCCCTTTTTGGATCACAGCATTGTAGAGGCTGTTCTTCCATAAAGCTTGAGCACCAATTTATCAGAAATGTGGCAGACTTTATGGCTGAAAATGCAGGTATCCCCACAAACATCTAATTCTGCCTGTTATTTTTTACAAGTCATTCTAACTGGCATTAGTACAGTACTTGCATAACAGGCACTAGGGTGACAAACACTATCGAATATTAACAAAGAGAAAAAAAGGCAGAACCTTTTCTTGATTTCCAACATGGCATGAATTTGGATTTGTGACATAAATTGGCTGTGGATCTCAATCAAACCAGGTGGCTTCCTTAATCCCATTCCAAAGGGGACTAAGCTGAATTAGGCTATTTCCCAAACTGAGGGTTTAAACTTGTGGTTGGTGTATCCACACCCCCAGTATATTGCCTACCTTCAGATTCTGTTCTTCATGATAATCAATGACCCTGCCTTCCTCAGAGGCCTAACTACCCACTGTACACACAGACAAACATATCAGTGAACTACAATCACACATTTTCCCCAGGATAGTTACATGACATGAAGCACGGAAATGGCAAGGGAGAATGCTTAACACTTTCTGTTCTAAATCCCTATAATCTGGTTAATTTGCCCTCATGACAATCCAATCCAAGTACATATGCTTTCCCAAACTTGTGCCTAAAACCTATGGAGGTTGCTTTGGATGTGATGAAGAAAAAATAGTTACGAGTGCAAAAACAGTTAAGCATCTGCGGCCCATACGTTGCTGCTTTTCCAAATCATCTCCTACTTTTCTTGGCAAAACAAGAAAAGAAATCCATTGAAGCAGTTAATTGTGTTGTCATACAAAATCTGCAGGTACTGCAGAGGTCTTATTTAGGCTGCGGTCTGTGCACCTTTAAATTTAGTAAGTACTACCAAGTAGAGTACTACTCAGCAAACACAGGAGTATGATTGTGCTTTAGTTGCTTCCCTTTCACAATGGTGTGCTGTAGTGTATTAAATATGGTTGCAGATTTTCATCTGGCAAACTCACTTTATGTATGTATGTACGTACGTACGTACATGCATGCGTGCGTGCGTGCGTTCGTTCGTTCATTTAATATCCCACTCCTATTAGTGTCACAGCACTACTCTGGGTGGGTTACAACTTGTAAAATAGAAAACAAAAATAAAAATATCAAAACCAATACTAATAACCCTTAAAAAGAAAACATGGCACCGACTAATCCCAGAGCAGATGGAGGAAAAGAGGGGAGGAAAGAAGAGGAGGGAAAGGACAAAAAAGGAGGAAGGTGGTCAGCAGGGATTAATGTGGAAAGCCTCTCTGAAAAACAATGTCTTTGTTGCGTCCACTCAGTGTCCTTTGTTTATTTTCCCTCTAAACACAAGTCCACCCTCTGTATGTATTTCCTCATTTCATGCTGCCACCAGGAATTATTCACTCAATACCAAAAAGATAGATCTTTGTCACGTGCTGCCAATACAAAAGATTTATTGATTTTACAGGTGTCATGCAAATCACAGAGGTCAATCACGGATGTTTAGGATCATTCATTAAATATCATTTAATTTCATGTTGGTTTGTATGTGTTCTTATTCTCTTTTACTTTCATGTTGGTTTGTATGTGTTCTTATTTTCTTTTACAATATCCTTTGACTCTCTATTTGTTCTCTATGCATTTGAACTCTTTCCTATTCTTTCTATCATTCCAACTTTCCAATCTCTGTCTTGACTTTCTCAATTCAATCTCCTAACTCTCTCTCTTCAATTCCCTATCACCAACCTCTTTTCTCTAACTCTCCTCTCTAACTCTCTAATCAATCATCTAGCTGTCCTTTAGGTTCTGCCCCTCCTGTCCTCTCATAGGCTCCTGCCCTTGAGCTCTCCATGATGGACAGGCGTGACGTGAGGGTTTGGCCACAGTCTTCAATTGCTTCCTAAAAGTTCACAGGGAGGGGGTTAGGCAGAGCTCCTCCAGAAGCTGGTTCCATAAAGTTGGAGCCACCACAAAGAAGGTTTTACCTCTTATAGAGGATTTATGGGCCTCCCTCAGGGTGGCCACCTGGAGGAGCCTCGATTGGGATGATCTTGTGGGTAAGGCAGATGACTATAAGGAGAGATGCTCCAACAAGTAACATGGGCCCATACTATGGAGGCCTTTGTATGTGAATGTCAAAACCTTGAACCTGATCTAGGATGCCATGGATAACCAGTGGCGATGAGCTCTCCATGATGTTGCAGCTCTACATGGATTCTTCCAAAATGCTCTCCGTGGCTCTGTTTCCATATGGGGCCATATTAAGTTGCATAACTGCTGTACTACAGCTAAAACTGTGCTCACGACCCGGTTCAATCCCAGGTAGCCTTCTATCCTTTTGAGGTCAGTAAAATGAGTACCCAACTCACTGGGGGGGAGGCAATGTGTGGCCTGCATAATTAACTTGTAAACTGCCCAGAGAGTGCTTGAAGTGCTATGGGGCAGTATATAAGCAGCACGCTTTGCTTTGCTTTGCTTTACTATGTAGATCTTCCTTAGTTTGCATGTTTCACAGTCTCTGTGCTGCTGCTGGTATTCCATAGCATCGGCAAAGTCTCAGTCTTTTACAGCTGCCAACGAACACTAAGAATGTTTGCCAGTGACACAAAAACTATTGAAATGACACTGAAGATCCATTAAACAACTCCATGTAGTATAGTTGCTGCCGGGAAAAGCTGCCAAAGGGTTTTTTTTTTTTTTGCATTTTTTCCTTACTACATGGGGGCTGGACTGTGTAGATCAGCCCTCTCCACTAAGTTTTTTCATTCATATGGCACAGGAGTAATAAAAAGAGGAAGCCAAGAAAAATACTTTCTTGCTATACATGATGCTATAAACTGCACTCTTTTCCAGCCATGGCAGGTCACTGTGAAAGGACTGGGACTGCAATACATGAGCTGAAGCCATTTAAAAAATGTTCAGAATCCATCAGCTAAAACCTGGCACTTTCCTCCAAAATCATATGTAGAGAAGTGATCAGAATGCAAAGCTTCCAGTTTCACATTGACATCCTGTGGCATATATCTGTTCTTTGAACAGGTGAAACAGCTCAAGAATTATCAAAGGAATACTCACCAGTCCATGCACTCTTGGCAGTGATGCTTTATAATAATTGAGAACATTTACTGCTAAAAGATCTAAAGGCGACCAATGGAACAGAAGCCAAATTTTCTCTGTCAATCTTTTGATGTCTGCTATTATTTAATTTCATACCTGAATCAAGAGCCAAACAGGGATATATCCCAGAAGCTAAGCAGGCCAGACGCTCTTGAATCTATGAATGTTTATTTTCTAACTCCCTAAAGAGGAAGATTAAAACAGAATAAAGGGCCAGGGAATCCACATTAAATCTGAATTTCTGAACAAATAAAATATTCAAACATTCACACAAATGATTACAAAAAGACTGCCAACAACGTAAGTGTAGGATGTATTCTGTACTCTGGCAGTATTTTGACAGTTCGAATGTATTTATTACACATTTCCTCCTACAACATAAAAGCTAATGCTAAAAGTTATCTGATATATTGTTGTACAATAAAAATTGTTTTTATACTTACTCTTGTGTTATTTCTTTCAGCTTTCAGTTCAGAAATTTCTTCTTCTTTTTCCAGTAGTTGTTCCCTGCATGCATTTAGCTCTTTTGTAAGTGCAGCAAACTCCTAAAAAGTCAGAGAAAATATACAAAACATTAAAATGTAGCAGTTAATTTGAACATTTCATTATCTCAATTTCATATTTAATTACTGAATCCTTTACCATTACTCCAGCTACAAACTGAGTATAGCATTCATTAATGTGTGTGTGTGTGGGGGGGGGAATCCTTTGCAATTCTTGTTTTTATTAAATGTTCATGTTTCTGAGTACATTACAAAACACATAAATCCTTCTGTATATAGCAGCCATAACACCCATTAAAAAACTGTATGTTCAAGTTTTAGAAAAGATGAATATATGACAGTTACTAATTTTCATTCCATTTCAGAAACATTACTATTGCTACAGATAGACTGAATAATGTTTTGGATTAATAAAGAAAAACAGGGCTTGCATATTCCATTTTTGAAGTTTTAACTTCAGGAGAACACTGTACACTTTATTGGCAAAGATGTTTCCAAACCTGTATTTCTGGAGGTAACGTGAATGTGGAGGAAAATGAGCACAGAACACTGTGGGGATAGAACATATGTGAGGAGAAACAACGTCCTGCAGGACATCTTGAAGCACAGAGTCAGCCCCTGTATGAGGGCAGTCTTGGTCACGGCACAAAAGGGAATGCTCAAAAACATACTAAGCTGTGACTCTGGAATATCAGGAGCAAGAAAAAGGCCAAATTATAAGTAAAAAACTTACGGAGTCAACAATACAACAAGACAACAGGCAAAGTAGTCTGGGTCAGACATCACGAAGTAGTCTGGGTCAAGTTGCTCGGAGGCCTATCAATAAGAAGTGCTCAGAGCTGTGTGTAAGTTTATACAGAGCTGATGCTGGATTTTGTTTTTTTAGCACTTCATTGGTGTTTGGATTCTGTTTTTATTTGGTAGCACCACCTTTAGGGAAAGTTACAGAAAATTGAATAGCAAGGAAAGACAAGTTGTTGTTTAGTCGTTTAATCGTGTCCGACTCTTCATGACCCCATGGACCAGAGCATGCCAGGCCCTTTTGTTTTCCACTGCCTCCCGGAGTTGGGTCAAATTCATGTTGGTTGCTTCAATGACACTGTCCAACCATCTCGTCCTCTGTCATCCCCTTCTCCTCTTGCCTTCACACTTTCCCAACATCAGGGGCTTTTCCAGGGAGTCTTATCTTCTCATGAGGTGGCCAAAGTATTGGAGCCTCAGCTTCAAGATCTGTCCTTCCAGTGAGCACTCAGGATTGATTTCCGCCTGTAAATATGTCTAGCTTACAGCTTTTTTGGGATCAGGAATTGTCTCTTTTCAGGGCTTCCAGTCACAGAAGCACTGCAAGCATTCCCAGCTGAATGCAGTCATAGATTTTTTGCATTAAACATGTAAGCAATCTAAGATGCACGCCGTGCCCATCACCACCATTTTTTCAGAATGAAGCTGAATGATATGATAGCCAGAATCCCCCATCAAGCATGGTTAGTGGTTATGTTGGTTGGGAGTTCTAAAAGCTGTAGTCAAATCAAACCAAACCAAATTAAACCACAAAAATTTCTAAGCACTGCCTATAGCATAATCTTTCTATATTTCTCCACCTTTCAAGTATCTTTCCTTCCATTGCACGCTGCTAATGGTCCGCAAAGCACTGCCTATAGCATAATCTTTCTATATTTCTCCAGCTTTCAAGTATCTTTCCTTCCACTGCACGCTGCTAATTCCATGGTCCGCAAATATGCAGATTTATTAAAATGGGACATAGCCACAATAATTTGGAAAACACATGTAACCACATATGTACCTTTACAAATTTACCACTGTATTGTTTTATAAAAACCTCTTCCAAAATGATTACATATACATTATAATTACATAGGTATTATATGTAATTATATGAATATAATACTTTGTTTCTAATTTTTAAAATGTGAAGCAAATCAATATAGCCTGTAGAGAGTATTAAGGCTTAGGCATGAGTGGTTTCTGCTTGAGAGTATCTAAGGTTTTTTAAAACAAGGTTAAGCTTTCAGTAAAACTAGTTAATTGCAGATTTGATGATTTATAGTTTGGAGAGAGGAAAATTGTTCATCACCCTGATGCACTATTTCAATGAGAATAGCTGGATTTAAGCCAACTTCATCTCATCAAGGAACTAATTAGAATTTTGGTTTAAGTGCTTTTAGTTGACAGCCAGTTCATTATTAGAAAACAACATGATTTACATGATCAACAAATGACATTATTACATTTTGCTTCAAATTTGTTCTTTAATAAGGGCTTTACTTGTGCAGTATTATTAGAAAACAACATGATTTACGTGATCAACAAATTGCATTATTACATTTTGCTTGAAATTTGTTCTTAAATGAGAGCTTTACTTGTGCAGTATTGCTGTTTCATGATTACAAAATTAACTGAGACCTGTGAGCAAAAAAAGCAAAGTGTGCTGTTTATATACCACCCCATAGTGCTTCAAGCACTCTCTGGGCAGTTTACAAGTTAATTATGCAGGCTACATATTGCCCCTCCAGCAAGCTGGGCACTCATTTTACGGACCTCAGAAGGATAGAAGGCTGAATCTACCTGGAGCCGTCTACCTGGGACTGAACCCCAGGTCGTGAGCACAGTTTTGGCTGCAGTACAGCGGTTTAACCACTGCACCATGAGGCTTCTCCGCAAGGAGAAATGTACAAGAGAATGAATCCTTTATTTGTGGCTTGTCCTGCACAGAACAGGGGGCTGGACCAGGTGACCTCCAAAGTCCCTTCCAACATACAATATGAATGCTATGGATGGATAGACAGTTGGGTGCCTGTAATACTCATTAGCATTACAGGTTCATTTGCATGGACTCCACATGTCATTATTAGTCACTGGCAGTCCTTAGTAAAATCTTTCAAGAAGTGGTATAACTATAATTAGCTGTAACTATCATGGCTGTCACCATGATAACTCCAACAGTTATGCCAGAAAGGTAGCCAGGTTATGCTAGAGTTGACTGCAGCAAAAAAGTTTTTTAAAAAAAGAACCTTGGTGGTGCTCATCCCCATTTCCAAACCATAGAGCCAGCGTTTATCTATAGACAGTTTCTGTGGTCACGTGGCTAGCATGATTAGACACGCAAGGTCGTTACCTTCCCTCCATGGTGGTACCTATTTATCTACTTGCATTTTTACATGCTTTCAAACTGCTAGATTGGCAGGACAAGCGACGGGAGCTCACACTGTCACATGGATTTGATCTTACGACTGCTGGTCTTCCAACCTTGTAGCACAGAGGCTTCTGCGGTTTAACCTGAAGTGCCAGCATGCAGCAAATCACAAATAGGAGAGACTTGCTAAATTAATAGAACTTATATATGTGTTGACTCACCAAATCTCAAGTGATGGAGTGGACCAGTCTAGTTGGGACATATTACTGGATATCAGCCAATGTTTCTAAAGCCCCATTCTTTAAACTTTTGTTGTTGATTTTTTAAAAAAGTGAATATATTGATCGTGGTGGAAAATGTGTTTGAAATTCTCTTTTAAATTTCTCTTTACCTGATTGCATAAAAACATTTTGAATGCTTTGTTCTAAAACAGAACAGACTAAGATCTCTCCCAAGAGATATTTCAACAAGTTTTCTGCTGAAAATAACCTACAGGATTTTAAAAAAAATATTTATTAAAAGAACATGGAAACAACAATTGAGTTTGACTTTCAGCTTTAAAATGAGATTATTTCTGTCATGCTTAGGTTTTGAGGGGAAAGTCAATAAAAGGATAAGATGTCAGTTTTGAGTTCCTACTTAATAACAACACAGGTAAATGTCATTTGTTGACATGAACATTCTTCTAAAATTTGTTATGTAGCTTGACACTTGTCCACTGTATGATAACATAACTTCTAAAATAAAAACATGTTAGCTCAAAATTCAATGCCAAGGAATGAAGGCTTTTGTTGCACCCAGTTACATAATAGTTTGTGATAATAATGACCTCTGCTCTGCATTTGCCTCATAGATGCACAGAAACCAAAGGGATACTGTCATGTAGATTATTGTTTGCAGCAGAAATGTTGCATGGTCAGTCATAGTTTAGCAGGCCTCAAGGTAGAAACTGCTGCAGAACTAACATATCATGACAGACTGAACTGCACTCTTAAAGTTTAAAAAGAACCTGTTGGGTTTCAGCATCAATTAAGAAGCTAAGCATGAAGATTATTCAGCATGTAATCCTGCTATCCTGCTATTATACTCAAATGTGGAGTGTTATTTTGCTACACATAATACTTTATACACATAATAGTTTTATACTTTTTGCATAATACACCTTATACTTTAGAAATATTTTAACTGCATGTATAAACAGCTAAGCCAGAATTCTTCACAATTACATTTGTGGAACGCCCGGTTGTGCAAATGGTGTTCAGCATTTGGGCAAAGAAGCATTCAATGCCTATTTGCACCAATAGGCGCCAAGGCATGGTGGCCAAAATTCTGTATCCATAAGAGCCAAGATGGCTCAGGGAGGGAGAGGAACACCAGACTTTCCCAGCTAGCTTTTCCTTGCCAGAATACTCCAGCACTGTTTTGGCAGTTGCCAGTGCTTCTGGGAGACTCAGCAGTTGCAGGAAGTGTTAAGCACAGTGCCAGAGCCTTCTGTTCTGCCAGTCTTCAAAAGGCCACTTGTCACAGAAAGATACAGGAGAAGAATAATCAGTTTAATGACACTTCGTGATATCCCATAAACACTTTTCAAAATATATCTGTTAAGATTCTCAGTCATCCAGGTGAGGTTCTCTGTCATGGCAACTGGACTTCTTTATTATTAGGTTGAAATGTTTCGCTACTCATCCAGGTCGCTTCTTCAGTCTGAGGACAGTTGGTAGGAAACCCCTGATATATCCTCCATTTTGGCTTCACTTCCCCCTGGTATGAATGGACTCCTGAGATGGAGAACGGAATGTGTGTGTGTGTGTGACATAAATATAGTGGAACTAAATATCAAATTCACCAGAAAGAAAACACCAAAGATAACTACAGTGGACCCTCGACT